TAAAAAGTTCTTCATGGCTCTTTTTCTTAAAAGAGAAGTGGGGGGGGAGGGGGGCTTTTTTGAGTAAATAAAATGGTTTTTTTCAAAGATGAATACTAAATTCATTCCCTCCATTAATTTTCGCAAAACTATTTCATATACATAATGTCTTTGAAAAGTATACCGTGTTAACCTTCAAAAGTATACCGTTTAAACCTTCAAGAGTATACCGTTTAACCTTCAAAAGTATATCGTTCTAACATTCAACCGTTTAAACCTTCAAAAGTATACCGTTTAAAACTTCAAAAGTATACAATTTTAACCTTCAAAAGTATACCGTTTAAACCTTTAAAGTATACCGTTTAAACCTTCAAAAATATATCGTTTAAACCTTCAAGAGTATACCGTTTAAACCTGCAAAAGTATACCGTTTAAACCTTTAAAAGAATACCGTTTTAACCTTCAAAAGTATACAATTTTAACCTTCAAAAGAATACCGTTTTAACCGTCAAAAGTATACCGTTTAAACCTTCAAAAGTATTCCGTTTAAACCTTCAAAAGTATACCGTTTAAACGTTCAAAAGTATACCGTTTAAACGTTCAAAAGAATAACGTTTAAACTTTCAAAGGTATACTGTTTTCACCTTCAAAAGTATACCGTTTAAACCTTAAAAGTATACCGTTTTAACCTTCAAAAGTATACTGTTTTAACCTTCAAGAGTATACCGTTTTAACCCTCAAAAGTATACCGTTTTAACCTTCAAAGTATATCGTTTAAACATTCAAAAGTATACCGTTTTAACATTCAAAAGTATACGGTTTTAACATTAAAAAATATACCGTTTAAAACTTCAAAAGTATACCGTTTAAACCTTCAAAAGTATATCGTTTCAACCTTCAAACGTATACCGTTTAAACCTTCAAAAGTATACCGTTTTAACCTTCAAACGTATACCGTTGTAATCTTCAAAAGTATATCGGTTTAACCTTCAAAAGACTACAGTTTTAACCTTGAAAAGTATACCGTTTTAATCTTCAAAAGTATACCGTTTTAACCTGCAAAATATACAGTTTTAACCTTCAAAAGAATACCGTTTTGACCTTCAAAAATATGCCGTTTTAACCTTTAAGAGTATCCCGTTTAAACATTCAAAAGTATACCGTTTTAACAGTAAAAAGTAAATGGTTTTAACATTAAAAAATATACCGTTTAATCTTCAAAAGTATACCGTTTAAACCTTCAAAAGTATACCGTTTTAACCTTCAAACGTATACCGTTATAATCTTCAAAAGTATATCGGTTTAACCTTTAAAAGTATACCGTTTTAACCTGTAAAAATATACAGTTTTAACCTACAAAAGAATACCGTTTTGACCTTCAAAAGTATGCCGTTTTAACCTTTAAGAGTATACCGTTTTAACATTCAAAAGTATACCGTTTTAACATTCAAAAGTATATCGTTTAAACATTCAAAAGTATACCGTTTTAACATTCAAAATATACGGTTTTAACATTAAAAAATATACCGTTTAAACCTTCAAAAGTATACCGTTTAAACCTTCAAAAGTATATCGTTTCAACCTTCAAAAGTATACCGTTTAAACATTCAAAAGTTTACCGTTATACCGTTGTAATCTTCAAAAGTATATCGGTTTAACCTTCAAAAGAATGCAGTTTTAATCTTGAAAAGTATACCGTTTAAACCTTAAAAAGTATATCGTTTAAACCTTTTAAAGTATACCGTTTTAACCTTCAAAAGTATATCGTTTAAACCTTCAAAAGTATACCTTTTAAAACTTCAAAAGTATAAAATTTTAACCTTCAAAAGTATACCGTTTAAAACTTCAAAAGTATACCGTTTAAACCTTTAAAAGTATACCGTTTAAACCTTCAAAAGTATACCGTTTAAAACTTCGAAAGTATACAATTTTAACCTTTAAAAGTATACCGTATAAAACTTCAAAAGTATACCGTTTAAACCTTCAAAAGTATACCGTTTTAACCTTCAAAAGTATACTGTTTTAACCTTCGAAAGTATACCGTTTAAACCTTCAAAAGTATATCGTATACTGTTTTAACCTTCAAAAGTATACCGTTTTAACCTTCAAAAGTATACTGTTTTAACCTTCAAAAGTATACCGTTTTAACCTTCAAAAGTATACCGTTTAAACATTCAAAAGTATACCGTTTTAACCTTCAAAGGTATACCGTTTTAACCTTCAAAAGTATACCGTTTTAACCTTCAAAAGTATACCGTTTTAACCTTCAAAAGTATACCGTTTTAACCTTCAAAAGTATACCGTATAACATTCAAAAGAATGCCTAATATTCGAAAATATGCTAGGTTTTTAAACAAAAAATTAAAATATAATTTAATTTCATATTTCTATTTTCATATTTCTATTTTACTTTTTAAATGATAAAAAAACAAGAAAGATTCTTTCCAGCATGGAGGTAACCTCATCTTTTGTCATTAATAGGTTTTCTCTGCAGACGTAATTTCAAGAGATCTTATATAGAGTGGCAATTTAGATTCACAATAGTACCCTTTAACTAATCAAGGATGAATGAGACATCCTTTTTTTCTCTCGGAAAATTTATTATTTCAAATGTTACATCATTAGTGTTTTTTTTTCTATAAAAGTTACTTGTCCGAAATCGACAGGTTTTAGAAAGAAAATTAGGTTATCTATCTTATTGTTACTCATAAATTAATAGATACTGATCATTACTCATTGATAAACAAAGAAAATGATCAAAAGAAAAACACAGAACCAAATGATATGTTCCCTTTTTCAAAATTTCATGAACACCCTACTAAAAACCGGATCTGAAAAATAACCTTCCCGGGGCCCTAGTATGAAAATGAAATATCAACTCAAAGTACAGATTGAAAGTGCAATCCCAAACATTTCTCCCGATCCTTCAAATCTTAGCTCGGAGCTAAACCAAGATTAAACCCATACATCAAAACATAAAGATTAATTTAAAGAAAGTTTTAAAAAAAGGGTTTGAAATACATTTAAAATGTATATCGGATGAGTTTAAGATTTAATTTTGTTCTGTAAAAGTTTATTCTAGCATTTTTTGGTATTTTCGAACTTTTCTAGTTTGGAAAAATAAATTAGACATTTTTATTTTCGAAAAAGGTTAAAATGACAAATGTGAGTAACGAGCTCTAATTCCGAGTGTATTGTTTGGCAGCAGGCTGGATATTTGTGTACTGTATGTAAGTACAGACCCGGAGAAACTGGGTTAAACAAACCTGTAAACAAGGTGAAACTGCTCCGTCCTTAATCTAGATCTTATAGGAGATGTCTCCGAACCTGGAATAGAATAGGGAGACAGATCAGTAAACAATAAACCTGAAAATCTTATCTCAGGGTAGGTTTGACTACTGGAATCATTACTCAGGATAGTCCATGATAATGGTGCAACCATAAAAGGAAATCGGGGTGTTTTTGCCTGTATCTCATATCTGTTGGCTGACAACTTTCCATTTACATTGCTTAATTGCTCGGGAGTGGAGGGATGAGTGGGAGGGGGGGAGGGGAGGATGGGGATGGTGAAAAACTTTAAAGGTATTATTTATGATTTATTTATCTTTAGTACTTTGTTTGACTCCAATAAAATAAAGACCTAGCTCTGCAAAAAAAAGTGAAAATACAGAAAGAGCGTAAATATAATGTTCTTTAATTGAAATCTAAATGGAGTAAAAGTGAGTAAAAGTAACATTTTCTGATTCGAATTTAATATATATCGTATTCTGATTCGAATATATATCGTATTCTGATTCGAATTTAATATCTCTTCGTATTCAAGTTGTTTAACGTACTTTTGAAGGGACCATGTACGTTTAATTTCCAGTTCAAAAATGCTTAAGTCAAACTGACTGAAACCCGCAGTAAAAAATATTCAATTCAATTCACATCATAATCAATTTTTAGAGAGGAAAACAAGAATAACTCCATCCTTTTTGCCCCGTCCATTGTGAATCGGGAAGGACACTCTTTAAATGGAGGGTCATGTAAAATTCAAACTACGGCCCCTTTGAAATTTGTGTTTCTCTTTAGTTTTCAATTGTTTGAGTTGAATTGCAAAGTAAAGAGTTAAAAGCAAGCTTGACCTATTTCTACGCACAATTGTTTTCAGAAAACTTATATTATCATAGTTCAGAAATGTTAGGATGCGTGGATAGGGGAGGGAGGGAGGGAGGGGGGTGGGGTACAAATACAAACCTAGACATGATCTAGACGTTCAAAATATGACATATTTTGATTTATTTTTTAATCAACTTGACGTTGAATATTTCTAAAGACAGTTAGATTATCTAAAAACAATATTTTAAGATTAACAGAAAGTTTAAAATTCATATAATCATTACACATTACGTTTTCAATTTGCAAAAGTGATTTTTTTAAATCCTCTAAACTCCAAAGCAGAATTGCGCAAAACACATTCTTAACCCAAGAAACAAACTTCAATCAAGGTAAGATAAGATAAGATATGGTTTATTGCTAAAAATACACATACAAGTTATAATGTTACAGGCAAAAATTCTGCAACTATTTTTATATTGTTTACTATATTTATGTAATTATGTAATTAGGTATGTATTGTTGAGCTACAGACTCTGGATGAATGGAGAAGGTTCGGGAGAAATATCTCCGGGTTGGGTTTAGAGCAGGGGTTTTACGATAAACGGGAATTTTAAAATTTATATCAATCATTAATTTGCAAATTTGCAAAAATGATTTTTAAATCCACAATATTATAAAGCCCTCCAGACTATAAAAGCAGAAATGCGCAAAACGCATTCTAAACCCAAGTTAAATAACTTAAATCAAAGTATGTATTGTTGAGCTAACAAGCTGGATGAACGGAGAAGGTTCGGGAGGAGAAATATCTCCGGGTTGGGTTTAGAGCAGGGGTGGGATAATTTCTTCTCCTTTCCTCGTCTTAATGAAACGATAAATGCTATTCTATCCTCCATATCCTCCACCTGCTAAGTTAGTCATTCCGGCCGGTGTAACTCCTTATTCCTTACTCATACTCCACTCCACACCCAGCCATGTGAACAGTTATCCTCTATCCCTAGTTCAGAACACCACCCGGAGAAACTTTTACAACATTTTGAACCTTCATTCTTTTCTCCGGGTCAAACTTTAGTACCGGCGTGTTATAAAATGCTATTGGATCCTGGCTGACTTGAAACCAAGATGGAGATTAAGGTTGAGCAGTCGAGTTCTGTGAGAATGCTTGTGACTAAACAACATGAACTCATCCTACCCATCTCCAGGGGATTATCAAACCTACAGAGGCAGGGAGTCATTTTCAGTGAGGTTTCAACACCCTCAGGAGTTAAACTTGTCCAGCTCATGCTGAACCAGGAGAAGGGAGTGTTCAGGGAGGGTATCAAAGCTGAACACATAATGAAACCTGATCCTGAACTTGCTCCTGACGTTTGCACAATTTGTGGGGAGACTTTTTCAAAAAAGGTTGCATTTAATGCTCATATAAAGGTTCATTTAAAAGAGAAGTTGAAACGACGAGCTAAACTTCAGGAGCAAACCTCTCTTAGCTCCGAGTCCAGAACTCAACCAAACCTTGGTTGGTCAGCTTTAAACTCTAAAAGAAAACTGGAGAAAACTGAAGATTACCAGACAACCTTAAGACGGATCAAGATTGAGCCCGGGCTTTCTATTAAACTGGAACCCATGTCTGAACCCGAAGTAAGTTCTACCCAACTGAACCCTGCCGGACACCGAAATCCAACTCCTGATATGTCGGATTTAGAGGATAATTTTGTCTCTAGTGAATTCTCGAAGGAAATGGAAATAAACCGAGTAGATTTAAATAACGAGCTCTCATCTATCCTGGATCAAATAGAGAAGGATTTTGAGGCTCCAAACCTAGATATGTCTGATGCACACCTAGAGACACCGCCAGATTCAGATTCAGAAGCTTCAGAATATCTTTCTTCCATTCTCACAGATCAGAGCAGTTCTTCTCCCTTTACGGAGTCCTACGAGGGCTCCGAGGCCGGAACTCCCAGCTCCAGAACCTTCTCCAACTCCCTGGAGGACACAAACGAGATCTCGTTCGAGAAACTTCTAGACGTTGACAGTTTAAACCTAGAGCAGGGCGGAACCCAGGCTCAGGATCATGATTATCTTGTCACCAGTCCTAATCTAGGTTCACTTTCTGTTGAGTCTCTTCTCTCCTCTCCCTCCCAACCTTCTGACAGACAGATAAAGGGATCTAACCTTTCTGTTCGTCCCTTGGGACTCATTAACAATATCCCTGCTAGAATCTTAATACATCGCTCTCAGACTGACTCTAAGATCATCAACATTTTTGGAATGAATAGTGTTTCTCAACCTTCTCCGTCCTACTCACAGGACTCAGAGGACACAACGGAGGACGGAGAAGGAGAGAAGGAAAAGATTAGAGGACGACAGAGTGCAGAGTGTGGGGTATGTGGGAAGACGATTACCACCAAAAACATGGCCCGACATATGGAGAAACATACGGGAAAGAAAAAGTTTCAATGTGATGTTTGCCAGGCAGCATTTTTTCAGAAAACTCATTTGAAGAATCACGTCCTTCTCCACGAGTCCAGCGAGTACTATGAGTGTACAGAGTGCGGACAAAAGTTTCTCCGAAGAACTGATTTTCAGAAACATTTAAAGCTGATTCATTCAATAGAAACTCCGCTATCTTGCTCTGTATGTGGAGCACAGTTTAATGAGATACAGAAATTAGAAATACACAAACAATCCCACACTGGAGAAAGAAAGGAACTATGCGGACTTTGTGGCGAAAAATTGGCAAACAGATCTGCAATGATTTCTCACATGCAGCAGCACACTTCACCAGTTGTGGACAAACCATTTTCTTGCAGCGTCTGCCACAAAACTTTCTCACAGAAGAGTCACCTAAACCGACACATAAAGAGCCATGGTGGAGAACAAGATCTGGTTTGTTTGGTGTGCAGCAAGCAGTGTAAGAACAAGGTTGAGTTGGTGAGACATAGATCCAGTCATATGGCCTGCAGTATCTGTAAGACCTTGTTTGACACCAAGGTTCAACTCCAACAACATGTACTCCGGGCTCACCCAGCCCAACCCACCATCAACTATATGTCACCAGGTTCTACCATGGACCTGGATATGTTCGACGGCGACTCTGAATGTTCATCGCCCCTGTCCCGGTCCCCTGTTGATATATTGAGCACACACATAGACTCTAGTCCCTGTCCGTCCTCTGTAGACTCCTCCCATCTTGATATTTTGGAATCTGGGTTCCCGCATTTTTTGACAGATTTCAGCTCCGACGAACCCTGTTTGGAGAATCAGGGTCGGAGTAAAAACAATTTATCTCTTGATGATATATCAGATTCAAGCTTTTTCGACATTAATCAACATTTGGACGAGGATCTGCTCTCAACAGATATATTTTCAGTCGGCAAGTAGATTTGTTCCACTCTTTAGACCCTAAAGTGTAGTTAGTTAATTGTATGGAAGCCAAAGCACAGTTTACACTTTTTGTAGACCTTCCCGCAGCTTTTTTATGTTCTATGGAGCTAGAAGAAGGTTGTAGATGTTTTATGGAGCTATCAGTTGTTTTAATGGAGCCTGAAGAAGCTTTTAGATTGTCTATTGAGCTTTCGCCCCTTTTCTGGAGCCTAAAGAAGCTGTTCTATGGAGCTTTCAGTCGTTTAATGGAGCCTGACGAAGCTTTTAACTGTACTATGGAGCTTTTAGAAAGAGCTTAAACAGATGCTTTGAAAAGAATTAAACACGAAGCATAAACTGAACCAGACTACACTGCAGGAGATATTGTTGCAAACTCCAATTTGTGCAAAAACTGTGAGAATTTAAATTTGCAATTTCGAAACTTTAATTGCTTTGCACTTAGACGCCCTGGCCAGTGTTAACTATTTGTTTTGCATTACTTTACTCAATTATTCATTTTGTTAAAATGCAATCTTATGCATTTTGATCTTTTTTACTTAGTGTGTTTTAATATGACCTTCTTATAGCTAATATAGAAAATAGTTTTTTAAATTATCACATTTAAATATTTAATTTTTCTTTTTTACTCCTAAAGGAAATTGAAATTATATTTTACTGGATTTTATTCATTGACACTATATACAGTTAGACCTACTAGTAACATATTTAATATATACTTTAGTTTATAATATTTTTAGCTTTTTCAAATGTTTCATGAAAACCCTAAACAAGATTTGAAAATTAACATTTCGTTGTTTTTATTATTTCTACGTTAAAATCCATTATTTTTCAGAAAGAAACATTTTTTCATTTTTATACAAGAGAAATAAAGTTTTGTGCATTTAAAACGAAATCAAATGTAATATTGGCAAAAATTAAAGAATTCCTAATAGGGACGCATGCCCCATCACCCCCCCCCCCTCTCGCTCCATGAACATTTATATTTTTGTAAATAGTCCTGATGATTCATCTAATAATATAAATCTAATCTTTGAAATATGTAGTTCTTTTGTAGTAGGTAGGTAGGTAGTAAGGTAGGAAGGTAGGAAGGTAGGAAGGTAGGAAGGTAGGAAGGTAGGAAGGTAGGAAGGTAGGAAGGTAGGAAGGTAGAAAGGTAGGAAGGTAGAAAGGTATGAAGGTAGGAAGTTAGGAAGGTATGAAGGTATGGAAGGTATGGAAGGTAAGAAGGATACTCTATGGATGATACACAGCGTAAACACCTCGGGGCTATTTTATTGAAAAACATGAGGATCAAAACAAATCTAGAGACAACCTGAACCCGTCTGGTCATCTTCAATCCAACCTGAACCCGTCTGGTCATCTTCAATCCAACCTGAACCCGTCTGGTCATCTTCAATCCAACCTGAACCCGTCTGGTCATCTTTTATCCAACTCTACTTTTAAAATCTTAATCTTCTCATTCTATCCGTCCTTCCTTTACCTCCTCTTCATTCTTGATCTTCTCATCCTCTCCATTTTGAAATCTTTCCTCTACCCTTGATCTTCTCCTCCTCTGTATTCTTGATCTTTTCTTCTTTTCCATCCTTGATCTTCTCCTCCTATCAATCCTTGATCTTTTCTTCCTTTCCATCCTTGATCTTCTCCTCCTATCAATCCTTGATTTTTTCTTCATTTCCTTCCTTGATCTTCTTCTCCTATCCATCCTTGATCTTTTCTTCCTTTCCATCCTTGATCTTCTCCTCCTATCCATCCTTGATCTTTTCTTCCTTTCCTTCCTTGATCTTCTCCTCCTATCCATCCTTGATCTTTTCTTCCTTTCCATCCTTGATCTTTTCTTCCTTTCCATCCTTGATCTTCCTCTCCTATCCATCCTTGATCTTCCCTTCCTATCCAACCTTGATCTTCCTCTCCTCACCATCGTTGATCTTCCCCTCTTATCCATCTTTGATCTTTTATTCCTTTACATCCTTGATCTTCTCCTCCTCTCAATCCTTGATCTTCACCTCTTCGCAATCCTTGATCTTCTCTTTCTCTTCATCCTTGATCTTTACCTTTCCTCCATCCTTGTCCTTTTCTTCCTCTCCATCCTTTTCTTCCTCTTAATCTTGATATTTACCTCCTCTTCATTCTTGATCTTCTCCTCCTCTCCATTTTGATCTTTCCTCTACCCTTGATCTTCTCCTCCTCACTATTTTGATCTTTTTATCCATTCCTTCCTTGATCTTCACCTCCTCTCAATCCTTGATCTTCACATCATCGCAATCCTTGATCTTCTCTTTCTCTTCATCCTTGATCTTTCCCTTTCCTCCATCCTTGTCCTTTTCCTCCTCTCCATCCTTTTCTTCCTCTTCATTATTGATTTTCTCCTCCTCTCCATTTTGATCTTATCCTCTACCCTTGATCTTCTCCTCCGCTCTATTTTTGATATTTTCTTCCTTCCATCCTTGATCTTCTCCTCCTATCCCACTTGATCTTCTCCTCCTCTCCATCCTTGATCTTCCTTTCTTCTCTGTCTTTGATTTTCTCCTCCTCTCCATTCTTGATCTTCTCCTCCTCTTCATCCTTTATCTTCTCCTTCTCTCTGGTATGCTTGATGTTGACAATTATTTCAAATCTAAAACCATTAAGAAAAACCAGTTTGCTAATTTTAATTATGATTGTCTCTACTATCTTATATCTCCCCAATCTTTTTGGACCGTTTTTCAACGATGTTAATATTCTCTCTCCACCATGAACTGCTGGTGGTTGACCTAGATCTAGATAAAGCAAATACTTATCGTCTCCGCATCCCGTTATTATTCTTTCAAACTGGGTATATTTATCCTGTTCTAAAATTACCACAGCAAAACCGTGTGAGCTAGATTAAGATTTTAAGTATGAGTTATGGGGGGGGGGAGTTAAGATAAACCAGATCACGACAACAAATTATAAAATACAAGGCTTTCAGGGCGCCCATCTTCTATTTTAATTGTGAACATTTTCTCTTTGTATACATTGAAAAGCAAAAACAAAAAAGTTCGCGGATTTTATCAAATAAATTTCGTGGATTTTCAAAATTTAATGAAAATAAATAATATAAATAGCGTAGAATTATCGTAGATTTATTTACGTAATTTTTTGTTGCTGGAAATATACAGGATTACCCACTTTTGTTGTTGGAAATATACGGGATTACCCACTTTTGTTGTTGGAAATATACAGGATTACAGGCTTTTTAGGCCGTATTTACAGCATCATTTATTGCGGGAAACCCTGTTGATCCGTCTCTTTATAAATGCTTTTATAAAAGTTGTGAAATAACATTTTCAATTAAAATCAAAACCATTTAGTTTCTTTTTTGGGACACCCTTTTGAATAATTTAGATGCACAATATAAAAACATATACAGGTCGAGTCGAAATAATACCAGATAAACGAATTAGATATAATTCCGATCTAAACCATGGGAAAACTTAATTGCTAATTTAGAAACTAAGGTTTCATTTTTAAACTTCATAACTCCATAGTAAAAATAGTTTCAATTTTTTTAAAACATCCTTTAGAACAGTAAACTTAATATATTTCATTCAAACTTGACGTGTTTAACCAGGCCCTGGAGTCATATTTGTATGGTTGTTGCCCTACCAGGTGTAGAAACTATAATACAAGAAGAAAACACTAGACAGGTCAATCTTCAAGATAGCTCCAGAGAACTAACATCATGTGAGTTTGGTCTTGTTACTCCGGGTCCTTACTTTAACTAGGACGGAGTTAGGAGTTTATTTCTGTTACTTAGTATCCTTACTTTAACAAGGACGGAGTTAGGAGTTTATTTCTGTTACTTAGTTACGGAGTTAAGTGTTTAGCTCTGACTTTACTTTAAATAGGACAAAGTTAGGTGGTTATCACTGTTAATCAGTATCCTTACTTTAACTAGGACGGAGTTAGGAGTTTGTACTGTTACTTAGTATCCTTACATGAAATAGGAAGATTTGATACTGATACATCGTCTATACTAATGAAACAAGGAAACTACCCTAGTTTCATTAGTATAGAGTAAGCAGTTCAGTTCTTAGTCCTTGTAATCTTCAGTCCATCATAGTTCATCCTAATCCATCCTATAGTTCATCCTAGTTCATCCTAGTTCATCCCAATCCATCCTAGTTCATCCTAATCCATCCTAGTTCATCCTAGTTCATCCTAATTCATCCTTATCCATCCTAGTTCATCCTAATCCATCCTAGTTCATCCTAGTTAATACTAATCCATCCTAATTCATCCTAGTCCTTCCTAGTTCATCCTAGATCATCCTAGTTCATCCTAATCCATCTTTGTTCATCCTAGTTCATCCTAGATCATCCTAGTCTATACTAGTTCATCCTAGTCCTTCCTAGTTCATCCTAATCCATCCTAGTTCATCATAGTCCTTCCTAATTCATCCTAATCCATCCTATAGTTCATCCTAGTTCATCCTAGTTCATTCTAGTTCATCCCGATCCATCCTAGTTCATCCTAATCCATCCTATAGTTCATCCTATTTCATCCTAGTTCGTCCCAATCCATCCTAGTTTATCCTAATTCATCCTTTTTTATCTAGTCCATTCTAGTTCATCCTAGTTTATCCTAGTTTATTCTAGTTTATTCTAGTTCATCCTAGTCCATCCTAGTTCATCCTAGTCCATCCTAGTTCATTCTAGACCATTCTAGTTCATCCTAGTTCATCCTAGTCCATCCTAGTTCATTCTAGTTCATCCTAGTTCATCCTAGTTCATCCTAATCCATCCTAGTTCATCCTAGTCCATCCTAGTTCATTCTAGTTCATCCTTGTTCATTCTAGACCATTCTAGTTCATCCTAGTTTATCCTAGTTCATTCTAGTCCATCCTAGTTCATCCTAGTTCATCCTAGTTCATCCTAGTTCATCCTAGTTCATCCTAATCCATCCTAGTTCATCCTAGTCCATCCTAGTTCATTCTAGTTCATCCGTATTCATCCTATTTTATCCTAGTTAATCCTTTTTAATCCTAATTTATCCTAGTTCTCCAGGTTGTGGTACATCTTAGTTTATCCTATAAATTCATCATAGTCTCTCTATAGTACAGCAGCGTATTTCATCCTAATCCATCCTAGGAAGTATTAATAAAAACATTTTCTCAGGCTGGCCTTATTAGCTCTAGTTGCGGTTGCATCAGCTGCTCCTCAATTCTTTTCTGGATATCAGTATCCTGTTTACCCTTACCAGTATCCACTTTACCAATATCCAGTACAGTACCCTGCGTATCCCCAGGCAAGATATCCTGGTGCTCCAACAACCGGAAGTGTCGATACACGTGGTTTGTTCACTTTCAGCGGGTTTCAGACTGCCAGAGCTAACTTAGTGGCAACCACGACAGCCCCAGTGTATACTGTTACCGGAAACGTCGTCTTCAATCAAGATCCCATTACTTCTCTGGATGGGAGTGCCTCAACTTATGAGGTAGAATCATAAAGAAAAACAATACACAATAGAAAATTCAAAAAAACCTAAGAAAGTGTTTTAAACGTTTATACAAATATTAGAAGTTTCGAGATTTCAAACTGTATTCAGTTAAGGTTTTGCAATAATTTCAACAACATTTAACACTTTTCCAAATTTTGACTCTGAGCAAAAGTATAGGAAAAAAAACCATCACTAAAAATAGATATTTTATGACGACATCCTTGAAAGATGTCTTCGACGTTCTGAGGAAAGAATTCTTCTTTAGAAGTGTTTTCCAATCTTAAAATTTGTTAAGGCTTATCTGACAGGAGCTGGAGCTAAGGCTAATGAGAAGTATCAACTAGGAGTTGCAACATCTTGCGCAGCTGTTCCAGTGGTAAGTATAGATTTTAGGCTAATCCAGGAAATAAATCTTGTTTATTTTTTACTGTTCCCGGATTGTCTCTCCTTTTTTCCACTCTGCTCTTAAATGATTTCATACTCTATGGATAGTTCCTTGTTTATATATTTCACAGTTCCAAATTTTTTTTCTTTATTTTTCACGGATTTTTTACTCTACGTCCTACGATAAATAATCTTTAATATTAATTTTCGTAGAACCTTGGAACCCAGATTACCTCACCCCTGTTCCTGATCAACGGGTTCTACGTGAGGGGAACCTCCACCGTCTTCAACGTTGACGGAACCAATGCCAAGACCTCTGTCAAGGGTCAGTACCTCGTGGTCACAAACGAGGCTGCTACTGGAGTTAGAACTGTTGTAGGATGCTCCAACATTCTTGTCTAATGATAAAAAATAATATTATTATGTAATGTCGTCTTCTAACAAATCAAACAGTAGAATCTCAAAAATAACGTATATATCATCATTATGTATGTTTTATAAACAACAGAAATAAAAGTTTTTCCATAACAAAATTAATCAGTTTCACGCAATTATATTTGCTTTCAAGTGACCCTCCATTAGCACGTCCGATTCACAACGGTGACCTTTAAACCTATGTATGAGTAATATTGAAGAAGATATCTTCGTTTTTCTAACGTTATAAGGGTTGAATTTTAGTTAAATTCTCACATTTTCCCTCATTATCTCTGCAGCATAAATCCACAGGTTTATTAGAGAGAGGTCTAATCAGTTTCTTGATGAGATAGTCAGTTAAACTAATCTTCAAAGTTTTTTAGAAGCTTCAGCTTCATCCTTATTGTTTATTTTGCATATTCTTTAAGATAAATTGACAGATTGTACATATTTCAATGCGAAAATTTAAAATGTGCAGAGTTTAGAAAAATGAAAATGATTTGAAAATAACATTTATTTATTAGATAACATATAACATATAACATATTAGATAACATTTTTCAAATTAAACTAATTATTTTTCTATTCACATTTCTTCTACCTCAGATGTCTGATCCCGTCCCATCTCCCTTCAACCTTTTTCTTATCCTTTTTCTTCTCCTCCTTCTCCTCCTTCTCCTCCTTCTCCTCCTTCTCCTCCTTAATGTATACGCAATGTATGTATACGCAATGTATGTATACGCAATGTATGTATACGAAATGTATGTATACGCAATGTATGTATACGCAATGCATGTATACGGACTGTTTCATTATATTTGTAAACTTGTTTATTGTCAAATTGGTAAATACTAAAAACTAAAAATAAAAAAAAATTGTGAATTTTCAAAAATGCAGACAATCGAATTTTGTTGGAGGCTAGATTTTGAAATTTTGATTATTCATAAACCTTACCACACGAAATTTGGGCCCGATCGGTTTAGCCGTTTTGACGTTTATTGGATACAAGCAAACAAAAACAAACAGACAGACAAGCAAATTATATTATACTAGGCTTTTAGGGCGCTTCGCACCCATCTTCTTTTTCAATTTTGAACATGTTTTCTTTGTATACATTGTAAAATGAAAGACAAACAAAAAATTTCAGGGATTTTAAAAAAATTTCGTGGATTTTCAAAATTTTTAAAATTCGAATTTCGTTAGAGGAACATTTTTGAAAATTCAATCATCAATATCCTTTCCTTGGGGTCACACGAGGTCCCACAAAAAATTTTGGCCCGATCGGTTCAGCCGTTTTGACGTTTATTGGATACAAACAAACAAACAGACAGACAATTGCAAATTATATTATCATTTATAGAAGACATTATGATATTATTATAACCTTATATTATGCCAATAAATTAAGAGTTTCAGGTTGTGGATGGAGCCTCATCCGTTGTAGGTAATTACCATGTATTTGAACTAATTTCACAAGAACATTTTAAACTATATGTGCCGCATGGCGAAGATGTAGGATTCTGGTAAATAATTCTAGACTTTATATATTCGACATAGCGGTTTGTCGGAGACTAAATGTTACATTTTCTTAAAAAAGAAACTCCTTTTTTATTTAAAAATTTGGCATTTTGTTTATTTTAAAAATCAATTGTAGGATGCGCCGCTTTTACAGTCAATAAATACTTAATTGTGCAAGCCTAAAGTTATCATGCATCCCATCTAAGCAAACATGCGTGTGTTAAATTCATGCAATTTTAATAGCTTTTTGCAAAAACTCGTTTAAGATTTGAATGACAAGAAAAAATGTTTCTGTTTGAATGAATTAGATTAAATAAATGTTTAGTTAAAATTAGCTATAGTGTTTAGCGATACAATTAAAGAGGGTAAAATTAGCTGTAATGTTTAGCGACACAATCAAAGGGGGTAAAATTAGCTGTAATGTTTAGCGACACAATCAACGGGGGTAAAATTAGCTGTAATGTTTAGCGACACAATCAACGGGGGTAAAATATGTTTAGCGACACAATCAACGGGGGTAAAATTCAAAACTCAAAATAATTGACTTCTCATCAAGTCTCTTTAGTTTCGTTTTCTAATGTTCAAAAAAAGGACCCCAAAAATATCTGCCTGTTTCACCCCTGCTCCCTCGTTTTCGCCAAACATTGAGTTAAAATATATGTATGGGGATATTTTTCCCCCCCCCCCTTCGTCTCTCAGTATCCTATAACAGGATTCCCCTAGTATTTAGCTCCATTTTGCCCAATATTGCAGAGCTACGTGAAAGCTGGAGAGAAAAATAATATTTAAATGTGTTTGTATGCTTGCAGTCACTCCTTAACAGGGGGAATTCGGGAGGAAGGAAACCTGTGTGAAGAGGGGGAAATATTTTTGGGGGTGGGGGGATTTCGGAGAAATGAATGACTTAAGCGATTTGGGGATTTTTGTGGAGAGGGGGGTGTGATAAAATGACGAAACTTTGTGATAATATTTGAGTCAAATAAGCGAGATTAGATTAATAATTTAAGCATATGCTTTTCAGTAGATGTTGATGATATCTTGATTTATTGAAAGAATTCTAAAAGTCGTCTTCCGAATCGTTTTAGAATGGGGGAAATATGGAAAAAATATTTACTGCAACAATGTGCGTTAACTTATTATTTCCAGCGAAAATCGAATCTTTTTGCCGTTTCTTTTGTTAAAAATATTCAAAGTAGTTTTAAAAGCGCTAATATTTAAAGAAAGAGTTTGTTATTATTAAATCAAAGACGACATTTAGACATATTTCTGTCAAATATTTAATTTAAGCGAACTCCTTTTTATACATTCTCTGTATATATATATACAGGGTACAAAGGATGAGACTTCTGAGACGGGTATACGCAATGTATGTATACGCAATGTATGTATACGCAATGCATGTATACGCAATGTATGTATACGCAATGTATGTATACGCAATGTATGTATACGCAATGTATGTATACGCAATGTATGTATACGCAATGTATGTATACGCAATGTATGTATACGCAATGTATGTATACGCAATGTATGTATACGCAATGTATGTATACGCAATGTATGTATACGCAATGTATGTATACGCAATGTATGTATACGCAATGTANGTTTCCCTTCTCTCCCTCCCCCCTTTCAGAAAAACACAAAACAGTTCCTAGGAACTGCAGAAGGAACAGATATTGTTATTTTTGTTACAACTAATTGTAAATAAAAATAATAAAAATGTGTTAGTAAATATGTTAATAGTAAAAAATTAATCAATAAGAAGAATTATCAAAAAAATAATAAGGAATTTTAAATATTAATGCTAAAAAATAGTAAGATGGAAAAAGATTAATGTTAAAAATGAAAAGTAATAATAACAATAATAATAATGATAATAAAATAATATAGATAACAATGGTAATGATGATAATATTGATAATAATGATAATAATGATAATAATGATAATAATGATAATAATGATTATAATGATTAAGTAAAATAAACAAAGTTGATCACCAAAACTTATATTTTCAAGTAGTAAAATTTGATGTTTATATTTGCTGCAGTTTGCATTGCAAAAAGTGTAATGCTGAAAAACAATGTTTTACTGGGAGCCTATTTTTCTGCGGAATAGTTGCAACGCAAAACTGAAGCGACCTTGATGTTTACAAAATAATTTCCTCAAATGATATTTGCAAGGAAGGAAGGAAGGGGGGAATCTTTGCAATAAAACTTTTGTTTTAATAGTGAAATATAAGCTTTCTTTTGACAATACACCTTGCATGAAAGGAGGGGAGGAAAGTTTGGCTTAAATTATTTTTACCAAATATAAAAAAGTTTTTACATTTAAAAAATGTTTTCTTCATTCAAGTTTGATAGAGTCCTTTAAACATCTTTCTATGGTTTCCAGGGCGCTTCGTGCCCATCTTCAGTTTTAACTTTTAACTTAGTAATTCAGTTCTTTTTCAGTTTTTAATAGTATTGTTTAGACCAATCTTATATGATACAGTACAGTACTATACAGTACAGTACAGTACAGTACAGTACAGTACTAGTAATTCAGTTCTTTTTCAGTTTTTAATAGTATTGTTTAGACCAATCTTATATGATACAGTAAGATCCAAAGTGTGGAGTAGGAACACGACTGTTGGACTCAGGTTATGATTATAAATTTCACAATAAACATGTCACTGCCTTGACTTGATGACACTATTTCCTTTATAACAACATTAAATACACATAAGGTATCTTAAAAATCGTCTGTAGTTTTTTTTGTAATTTCTACCTCGTTTTTAAATAATTCCACCACAAAATTCTTTAAGCAGCTTTTCTAATAAAGAAGTTACAAAAACACAAGTTATCTACTTTATATCGGCTTTCGTTGGAAATTTTATTAAAACGATTGGCGCATTTTTATCTATAGCTTAAATTTTGTATACATTTATTAAAGTGTACAGCTTAATTCTATTGCTTCAAATGCATTTCAGCAATTTTTATAGTTCATTAAATTTTAAATTTACACAATGTTTTTTTTATAATTTGTTTAACCTTGGACGCCGAGTGCTGACAATGTTTACTACTATTCCATTGTATTTATTTTGCTTGACTAAAATGCAAGGTCAACTTTTCAATAGTTTTTTATTTAGTCCATACTTACAGTTGACAGACACGGCTGTCGTTGCTTAAAATTCAACGTTAGGCTTTTGTGGGCAAACTGAAAAGTATTTTTATGCTTTTTATTGTTGTATCGTGAAATAAATAGATATAAACCACAAAGTTGAAAGTTCATGTCTTCATTTTTGCTTATTTGTCATTATTTTTGAAGGGAGTTAATTGGTTTTTGAGAAAGGTAACTGAAACCCAGCGCAATTTTCCTAATTTAGCTTCTGTGATGTACAGGGTTACCCAATAAAGAGTTTGCTGATTGGTTTCCTCTTTTTTTCGATCCATTTCCTCTTTCTTTCGGTCCGTTTCCGGTTTTCTGAAAAAGTTTTGAATTTTCAGTTCGTTGATCGGTTTCATTTATTCTGATCCGTTTCCGCATTTTTTGGGTCGGTTTAGGGTTTTCAGAAAAAGTTTTGAATTTAACCGTTATCTGTAGAAGATATTCGTCGTTTGTGTTTTTTTAAACGCACTTTCTGGATTTTACTGGCTAAAAAAGAAAAAAAAACATTTCCAAAAAACCTTTTTAAAACTATTTTGTAATTTTTATAATTTGAACATGTAGCTTAAAACTGTTTTCCTCTGAAAGTAAAATTACCATGCTTTTTTGACATTCAACTGCAACTAATTTCAGGCTTATTTTCCAAAAAAAGAAAAATAATAAATCATGGCAATTAATAATTATGATTCGAATTAATTACATATGATAAATTGTGATTTATTTTTCATAACTTCAAAGGTTCCAAAGACATTGAATCCTAATATTTTTGCGAAAATACAATCATGAAAACAACTTTGACGTTTTTATTTTGTTTGTTTGGCAGTGGAGCTCGTTTTTAAAAATCATCTTTTTCTTTCGTTTTATAAGAATTGAAAGTTTTCAGTACTATTCCTGTAACTAGAGCATGAGAAATTTATTTTGAAAAAATCCTCGAAATTTTTGTGAATTATCCGCGGAGGGAAACTATGCAGTGCAGCACTGTGTGCAGTTTAGAAAACAAAACAAACATTCAGCTACAAATATGCTTCCTCTTTAAGTACTATACCAGCTTAAAGGGACTGTAAGCGTAATTGAAGGTATTACACTTAAAAGCTTTATCTGATAAAGTATGAATCAGAACAATGTTTATAATTTTGAAAATGAGTATTTTGAAATTATCAATTGTGGGTTCTTTCCAAAAGTGACTTTGCATTTCTACTCTGCATACGTATAGGAATTATCAGAATTTAGCACTTATAAACCTAGACGAACGACAATATCTTCTTAAATATTGATCAGATAAAGTTTTGAAGGGTAGCGTTGTGACCCAGGGATTGCCCCATCTCTGTTAGATTAATTCCTAAATTAAAGAGGTATTCAGAAATTGACATATCAAGAAAACATCTTCCTTTTTCTTTTTTAAAAAAACGAAATTTAGTTTTGGGAATTTGGCATTAAATGAATGAGAAAAAAAAATGAGATTGGTTATGAAGTTTTTATCCAAATGTTTTGGCAAAATCTACTTTTTCATTCATTAAAACACTTTTTAAAGCTTTAAATCTTTATTTCGTTGTAATAAATAAATAAATAAATAAATAAATAGTGAAACATGTTTAAGGTATATTGATGCCAGGATTATTATTCCTAACAAACTGAATATTATTATCAGGAAGATCCTCGCAGACAACTTGTCTTCGAAACTGGCAGTTAGAATCATGCCAAGCTCCGTCAATAACAGCCATACAGGGTTCTTCTCCTAGTCCACCTAGAATATAAGGATGGTTTGGTATGAGGTGCTTAGGGTATATGAAAGGGTTTGGTATACAGAGAGGGTTTGGTATGAGGTGCTTAGGGTATATGAAAGGGTTTGGTATATAGAGAGGGTTTGGTATGAGGTGCTTAGGGTATATGAAAGGATTTGGTATATAGGGATGGTTTGGTATGAGGTGCTTAGGGTATATGAAAGGGTTGGGTATACAGAGAGGGTTTGGTATATAGAGAGGGTTTGGTAGGAGGTGTTTAGGGTATATGAAAGGGTTTGGTATATAGGGATGGTTTGGTATGAGGTGCTTAGAGTATATGAAAGGGTTGGGTATATAGAGAGGGTTTGGTAGGAGGTGCTTAGGGTATATGAAAGGGTTGGGTATATAGGGATGGTTTGGTATGAGGTGCTTAGGGTATATGAAAGGGTTGGGTATATAGGGAGGGTTTGGTATGAGGGGCTTAGGGTAAAGTAGAGGGTTGGGTAAAATGGGATAAGGGTTCAGGAGAGGGTTAGGTTGGACTTGGAGGGGTTTAGGATACAAGAGTTGGGTTATTACCTGGAGGAGTAAATCCATCTGGTTGAGGTAGTCCCTTGTCTCCGAACTTTGCCCACTCGTTTACTCCTTTCACTGAAACCCCGTCAACAGGACGGTTAGTTGGTAACATCTTTACCAGAGTAGACGCCCAGAACCAGCCATTTATATTCAAGGGTTGATAGTGGGGAGCATCACACCCTGTTACCTAGGATACGGTGGGACTTATAAAACAATGGAATATAACCAGTAACCTAGGATACAGTGGGACTCATAAAATTATGGAATATAACTAGCTACCTAGATGTGTAAATAAATCCCTGAAGAGTGAAGAGGGTAAAAGGTTGCCAAAGGTATAAAACATTGTGCTACAATACTATTATTCCAGAGATCTGAACGTTTGTACACAATATCCACAGAGGATAACTTTTAATATTGAACGACACGACTGCGTGATTAATCATCGCTTTTTAAGTCAACATTGGGTAGCCCCTTTTCTTCGACTCTCAGAAATATTTGTAAGGATTTAAATCATCCCTCAGACCACAATTCAATGGTTTTAATATTTTATATGACTTTTTATTCTAAAATCTTGAAAATTTACCTCTGCGTCACAAAGCCTGCCAGCTGTCCAAATATCTTTAACTCCAGCTCCTTTCATAAAGTCTTTAACCAGGTTCCATTCACCTTCATTCTCAAAGGAAACCTGAACATCGAGGTTTAGTAATTAGCTCCAGGGTTGGATTAGATATACAATCTCTAGGTTGGATTAGATACACAATCTCTAGGGTTGGATTAGATACACAATCTCTAGGTTGGATTAGATACACAATCTCTAGGGTTGGATTAGATTAGGTTACATATACTAGCTCTAGGTTTAGGTTACATATACTAGCTCTAGGTTTAGGTTACATATACTAGCTCTGGGTTTAGGTTACATATACTAGCTCTAGGTTTAGGTTACATATACTAGCTCTAGGTTTAGGTTACATACACTAGCTCTAGGTTTAGGTTAAATATACTAGCTCTGGGTTTAGGTTACATATACTAGATCTAGGTTTAGGTTACATATACTAGCTCTAGGTTTAGGTTACATATACAAGCTCTAGGTTTAGGTTACATATACTAGCTCTAGGTTTGGGTTACATGCAGAAATATGCTCTAGGTTATAGGATGTATTCCTTTCTAAATATATCCGTTAAATTACGTCATATATCCTGGTCTTTTTTCAGAACTGAATCCTTTATATCTGGATTCAATTCAAACTTATTTAATCTCTGTACAAAAGGATCTTATTATTCTAAAAGATCTTCATTTCTATGATAAATGCTGAATTTTTTAAAAAATCTTCATATTTTTACAAATTGGTATATTGTATAAACATACATCCATGTCATGCATTAACTACCCCCCCCCCTTTATCTGATTCTCCTTCCCCCCCCCCCAACTCTAAAAAAGAGCAACCTTTCCGTGAATATACTATTCTAAGTTAGGATAGATTAAGATAGATAGATAGCCACGGAATGTTTCACTTTTAAAGAAAGAGTGGGGGGAAGGGGGGGTATCCACTGTCCACGGCATATTTAATAAAAAATTCCAAATTCAATAAATTCTATAGTTTTGAATTAGAATTGAAACTCACCAAATCCATACACATCCTTCGACAGTAGTTCCTAGCAGTAAACCAGTTCCATCGACCTTCCCTATAAACAAAATTTAAAAAAAAATAAAAATATAAAAAATTTGTTTTATTTTTATTTTGGTCAAGTAAAAACTACATCCAGGTGGTTTCTGTGTAACAAAAATCCACTACAACATAAAACCTATTGTTTCCCTTAAAACACTTATGCCTCCACCCCTTAAAGGAACTGTGAGCGTTATTTTATAATTGAAATCTAATTCATACTTGATCAGACAAAACTTTTGCATTGAGGGTCATTATATTTTATTTTGTCTACATATTTCTTCTGGCCTTGACAATGATTTAAAAAAGTTCAGAATTTTTTTTTTATCTTTTAATGGCTTTAACTTGTCAATAAAAGAATTTATTGTGCAGAAATGTTTCAAGGTCTCGCATTCATTTCAAACTTTTTTAGTTTTTGATATTGAAAAATAGTAATAAATGTTTAAATCAATTAAACAATTGTAAAACTATGGTTGATCTAAATTCCAATATAATAAACTGTGGTTTTCATAATAAAGATGTTGGTTTAAAACTATAAACGATGAAATAAGAAAACTGAAAAATCAGAATTTGATTTATGAACCCATAAGAGAGTCTTTAAACTTATATTTGATAAGAATTGCGAATTTTGTTTATGAATTTGTAATAGTTGCGTACAGTTTTTATGTCAGCATTGCGTATTCAAGTTTAGTTGCGTACAGTTTTTATGTCAGAATTGCGTATTCAAGTTTAGTTGCGTACAGTTTTTATGTCAGCATTGCGTATTCAAGTTTAGTTGCGTATAGTTTCCAGCCACATATCTTTTTGCGTCATAGTTGCATCGAGTTTTGATTGCAAAAGATTTGAGTTTTCCCTCAGAACTGATTTGCGTCAATTTAAATCAGGGGGCGGAAACGTCATGTATGTGTGTCTGTACCAAAAGAGTGTGTGCAAGTGAACCAAAGGCGTGTACTGTAGGTATATACAGTACATACAAATCTCGGTATTTTTACAGTCCAGGAGGGTACATTTGTTAATTGTTAATTGTTTTCTTAAAAATAATTTTGTAACAAGATGTAATATATATTATTTATATATTTAAGTCAACACTTGTAAAGCCAAATTTTCATGCAAAGAATATAATTTGATTAAAGTTAACAATAAACTACTCGTTATTCAAGCTTAATTATAATTAAATGACGACATTGTTCTGCAATTTCCTTGAATGTAGTCATGTTGTGTATCTGAACCAAAAAAATGTACGTGTGTGATAACAAACTCGTCCTCAAAGCAGTGCGACTGGCTTTCTCATGCCAGACCAGCGCCATTTCCCTTCCCTTTATTCTTATTCCCTGATTTAAACTGATTAGGAAATACGCAGTATTGCTAACGTTGCGTAGAGTCAGTTTAGAATGTACGCAAATTTTGTTCATTACATTAAAGTTGGGTTTAATTCCTTTTCTTGAGAATTATAAAAAGCTTGTTTACAATGACTATTACGAAAACGAATCTGACAGTCAATTTTCAAGATATGTTTGCAGAAAAACAAAAAGACGGCTATGACGCCAATTCAGAGAACACTCTCCCCTTCCCCTTAATGGGAGTGTTTGCGAAAAAATGAAAGGGGGTATAGGTTTACGGCAAAAAATAAGCGCTTTTGATTGCTACTAATCTAAATGCTATCAGTTGCGTCTATAAGGAGAAAATTGTTAAAAATGACTGGATCGTAAAGTAATCAATTTAATTCCAAACAAATCATTCATATATTATAACCAATAATCATCGATTATTTTTCGACGCATTCGTATTTCGCGAACACTCCCTTTAACTTTAAAAAAAGTCAGATTTTAGAAAAGTTAGATTTTATTTTTTAAATTTTCTATTCAAATTTTCAAGTTTTCTTCTAAACTCAATCCAGAAGTTATTTTTCATAATAGTTAGTTTAGTCCATGTGTAAGATATAGTATAAAAGGAATGGCGAGGGCAAACGGAGATATACTTGATATTTAACAACCTTTTCAGCTTTCATATTTATACTTTCCAGACATTTTTAACTAAAAGGACACAACAGATTTCTTAAATTGCTAATTTCAGCCCAATCAAAACTTATATGTTGCTCACAGCTGTTTTGAATAAACTGAACACTTGTTTCAAACTCTAATTTTCCAATTTCGTTCTTTGCAACCCTATGGTGAAAAACCTTTGGTAGGTGTAACTTTGAATATTAGACCTATTTGATTCAAAGGTAAATTTAGGAAAAAGAATTGAGTTTTTGCCACAAACTCAAATTTTCTAAACGATAAACCGTTGAGGTTTCAAACTGAGACTAATTGATTCGACAAAATTTTTAGTTTAAAATATTGGGTTGCAAAGATATAAGGATTAAAAATTTAGTGTCGGAGACACAAACTCTATTCCTCTAGAAAAGTTTTCATTGTTATACAGTTAAACCTAAATAAGCCATACATCGAAAAAATTCATCAAACGCCCTATTCTTAACTTTCTGATAATGGAATGTTGCAGATATTTAGTTTTTAATTAAATGATTATATGGAGTTCTTTAAAACTGTTCCCGCATATTCATGACTGTTTATTTATTTTTGCATATACTGAGATTTACTTAAAATAGTTAAAAAAAAACAATTGAAAAATTGTCAAGACGACATTTGATAAATTCTTTGGATATATGGCTCATTTAGGGTTTTATTGCTGAAAAATAGTTTTCGATCAAACCTGAGAACTCTCTCATTACTTTGCCAGCTAAACCAATAGGTTTTATTCTGGAAGGGCAGTGCTCCAACCTTACTCTGTCTCCGGGAGCAAGGACCAGGTTCCGGCAAACAAACTTTTCCTAAAAAAAACAAATTAAATTAATTTCTGAAAAATAACGTTTTAAAAAATCAAGGTCTTTTGTAGAGGAAATTAGAAAATTGTGGAAAAAACTAAATTTTTTAAAATTACTTTGAGTGAAAAAATAGAAAATGTAACTATTTTTGAGAATTTTGTCAATCTTAAACGATTGATCTCGATACTCAATGGGTGCACTTTTAAATTAATATATTTATCCCTGCAAGTTATGGTAAATCGAAGAGAAAAGCTTGATCTTGAGAATTTTGACACAAACAGTTGTAATTTCAGGTTTTAAAAAAGAGTTGCTGCTAAAATTTTAATAATTTGCATTTTTAAATCATTGAAACCTGCTATATCTGAACATTCTTATCAAAGGGAGAGTTTCTGTATTTTTAAATCATTGAAACCTGCTATATCTGAACATTCTTATCAAAGGGAGAGTTTCTTCATTTTGAAATGGGGGTACAATTCAAACTATTTGTAAGCACTCAATTTCATGATTATTATAAGATTTTAACCTTTGTCACAGTCTGGATAAACATCGGCTCCAGATGCATCCTTGGGTAGGGGAATAATTATAGTTTTCCCCCTGGTCTGAGATTCCCCAACCTGGATACAGGAAGAGGAGAAAACAAGGAGTAAAACCACCTAAAGTATTACGTATTTTTTATTTTTTTTTTAAATTTTTATTCAGCTTTTTTAATGAAAAAGTATATCTTAGATCGGCTAAACAAGCAACTAGAAAAAGTATATCTTAGATCGGTTAAACAAACAACTAGAATAGTATATCTTAGATCAGCTAAACAAGCAACTAGAAAAAGTATATCTTAGATCGGCTAAACAAGCAACTAGAAAAAGTATATCTCAGATCGGCTAAACAAGCAACTAGAAAAGTATATCTCAGATCGGCTAAACAAGCAACTAGAAAAGTATATCTCAGATCGGCTAAACAAACGACTAGAAAATGTTGAACTAGCTCATTAAGTACAGTGGTAGGCGATTATATTAATACAATGAATACGACTGTTCGATTTCAATTTTGATTTATATCAAGCTGTTAATCAGCATGGATACACAAAAGCATACAGGTCAAGCTGTCAATCAAAAAGCATACAGGTCAAGCTGTCAATCAAAAAGCATACAGGTCAAGCTGTCAATCAAAAAGCATGCAAGTCAAGCTGTCAATCAAAAAGCATACAGGTCAAGCTGTCAATCAAAAAGCATACAGGTCAAGCTGTCAATCACAAAGCATACAGGTCAAGCTGTCAATCAAAAGCATACAGGTCAAGCTGTCAATCAAAAAGCTAACTCTTGTAAACTTGTAATTCGAAAAAAGCTTGAAAAGAATCAAAACTTAAATAAAACGTCATCTTTCTTGCATTGATAAAATCGCCCACCACTGTAGTTAATCTTTACATGCCTAGTTCAACCTCGTTTTCGATATTCATAAAATCCAACCTCGTTTAAAAAGTATAATTAGACAATCTTAAAAGTTTAGCCATACAGAGTCAACCACAAGAATGAGAATTTAATGACGACAATAAAAGCTGCAGAAAATCATGAACAGGATTGATAAAAATATGAAATGAGGACTAAATCAAATACGGTCGTTCTGTGAGTGATATAGTCCATTTATAAACAAGCTCAGTTTTATTGGACTAAACCAAAAGCTTCAAGACGTCTTCAAAATTTTTTATCTGTATCAAATCTGTTCTTGAAAATTCTCTCTTTTTTGGTTCATCAAAGAGTTTACAAAAATCAGAATAAGGAGTCGAATTTTTGCCACAAACTCTGATTTTTTAATATCATTATCTTTTCAACCCAATGTCGTAAACCTTAGATATTTAAACTATGAATTTTGATAGATCAAAGAATCGATATTTTAAATATCAAAGGTTTACACCATTTGTTCGGACATAGATATTGAACAGTTGGGTTTGTGGCAAAAACTCAGTTCCTTTGTTCCAAATTTCACTATTTCGATCGTGTCGGTCCAATCATAATAATGATGTCCCAAATACCATTATCAATATTTTTGTTCCAAATACCATTCTCAATGATGATGTCCCAAATACTGTTCTCAATAATGTTGTCCCAAAAACTATTCTCAGTAATGATGTCCCAAATACTTTTCTCAATAATGATGTCCCAAATACTATTCTCAATATTCTTGATCCAAATACCATTCTCAATGATGATGTCCCAAATACTGTTCTCAATAATGTTGTCCCAAAAACTATTCTCAGTAATGATGTCCCAAATACTATTCTCAATAATGATGTCCCAAATACTATTCTCAATAATGATGTCCCAATGATGTCCCAAATACCATTCTTAATAATGATGTCCCAAATACCATTCTCAATAATGATGTCCCAAATACCATTCTCAATAATAATGTCCCAAATACTATTCTCAATAATGATGTCCCCTATACTACCTAAAAATTATGTCCCAAATACCATTCTCAATAATGATGTCCCAAATACCATTAATAACCTTGTCCCGAATAGCATTCTCAATGATGATGTCCCAAATACTATTCTCAATAATGATGTCCCATATATTATTCTCAATAATCATGTCCCAAATACTATTCTCAATAATGATGTCCAAAATACTATTCTGAATAATGATGTCCCATATATTATTCTCAATAATCATGTTCCAAATATTGTTCTCAATAATGATGTTTTATACTACCTAAAAATTATGTCCCAAATACCATTCTCAAAATTGATGTTCCAAATACCATTATAAATAACCATGTCCCGAATAGCATTCTCAATGATGATGTCCCAAATACCATTTTCAATAATAATGTCCCAAATACTATTCTCAATAATGATGTCCCAAATACTTTTCTCATTAATGATGTCCAAAATACTATTCTCAATAATGATGTCCCAAATACTATTCTGAATAATGATGTCCCATATATTATTCTCAATAATCATGTCCCAAATACTATTCTCAATAATGATGTCCCAAATACTTTTCTCAATAATGATGTCCCAAATACTATTCTCTATAATTATGTCCCAAATACCATTCTAAGTAATGATGTCCCAAATACTATTTTAAAAAATAATGTCCCAAATACTATTTCATAAATCACTTCTTTTCAATAATTTTCGAACTTGCTCGGATAGTAGTTAATTGCCATTTTGTAGCAATACATTGGAAAATGCCTGTTCAGGGATGTTTAAGGTAAATTTGTTTGTAAGAATTTGTATTTTTATTCGACTTTGCACCTTTAAAACTTCCAATGTGACTTAATAAATCACTGAGATTCATAAATTACTTAGATATAAAAACTTGAACTTGAACCATTAAAGGGACTGTTGGCGGGATTTCAAGAGACCCTCTGTTTATAGATTAGTATGTCCGATTGAAAAGGTTCCCTTTGATAAACATTTTGTTTCTAATCAAGAATGAATGAGATATCCTGCTTTTTTCTTGGATTTTTTTTTAAGTGTAGGTTTTTAATAAATGTGTGTTGTGGATTTATGCTATACAGACACAATAAAAGAAACTATCAGAAAACATTACGCCTAAAGATAGGAAAACAACGATATCTTACTAATCGTTGCACAGAAAGAGGTTATAAGGGTATCATTGTGAATCTAACATGTCATTCTCCAAATTCAGGATCACTTGAAATCCCTGTGAACTATTGGTAATGTATTGGATTTAGTGAATCTGGTTCTCCGAGCAACATACTTTAAAATCCATCCTGTAGTATTATACTGGTCCACTAGATATATTGAACTGACCAACTCTAGACCATTGCCTTCCATTATATAAAGGGGAGAAGAACAGGTCCCTGCAATACTCCCTCCTCATCACTGCACTTCTTAAACATACAATTTCCCGTTATTTCTGCTCTTCGTTGTTGTGTGCGCTAGTGTTGGTTTTTATGCCGCGTTATTCAAGTCATTCCGCGGATAAAAGATTAGTTTCGTAAACCAGAGAGAGAGAATTGTCAGACTATTTGGAGAGAAAGATGTTGCCCTGGTTTTACAGTGTCTCCCGTTTAACATCGGAACTTAAAGACGGCCCATGCGATATTGGTAAATGGTAAAATTAACCCTTCTAAACAGATTCAACCATTCTTATTTTTTGTATTGAATATTTTTAACAGTCTGATTTTATTTTGGAATGTCCAACTGAAGCGTTTTAAATAATCATATGTTTACTGGGACAGCTTGCTACTGCGGAAGATAGGTTAAGGAATGCGGTGGTAGAGAGATAAATTTACTCCAAACCTGATTTTATTGATTACATTTTCTGAACATTTACATAATAGGCTGTAGCAAGGTGGGGGGGGGGGGGATGTGAACCAAGTGTGAACCAACGTGTTCAGGATTTCAGGCGCCCTGGCGCCAATATTGTCCTAAAAAAGTCTATTGAACAATTCGAGATGTATAATTTTTAGTATTTATCTATAGAAAGCTTGAAACATGTTTGTTATTTATTTCCTTTATGTTTTTTTGGACATCTTGGCAATGAGATATGGTCTAAAAAAATAACTTTTACTTTTTTTAATCATACCTTCTCAATTAGGATCATAATTATTCCTTGCAAATTTTTTACCAACGTTTTTAGTTAGTTAGTAATTTATATTTTTCTTCTTCTTCTTCTTTCACTTCTTTCAGTTCTTTCACTTCCCTTTTCCTATCCATCCCATCTCCTATCTGATTCCTCCCTTTTCTCGCTCCCTACGCCTCTATTCCTCCTCCGTCCCCTCCCACTCCCTATATTCTATAATCCCTATGACGCAAAAGCCAATCCCATGCACGTATGCCTAGTATAATTCCAAGCAACATTTAGCAAATATATGCACTTTGTTCGATAAAACCACGTCGTTTGCAATATAATTCGTCACAAATAACAATAAAAGGGCAAATTTTCAAATATTAACATGAATAAATCAAATTTAATTGATCCAGTGTGCACTGTGGACTTTGCAACTATACACTTTACAATGCATTTTTAAAACCACGTGCATAAAGGATGCAGTGATTTAATCATAACCCTGTTTTACGCAGTTCAACTTAAATTTGAATTCACAAAACAATATTCTAGCTTTTTCCAAAGTTTTGCACGTGGAGTTTATCGAGACAAAGAATGCCTCTTCTCAACCATGTAAATAAAGCTCCGGGATGGATGGTTAACTTGCTCAGGGTAGTTGATTTAACTGGAATTCAAATATTTTATCTTTTATATCAGTAAACAGCTTTGATCTTGTTTAACATCCGTATCGTTTACTAATGACGTTGTTTCCTGAATCCTGTATCATGTATCCAGAATCATGTATCCTAAACCCTATATCCTGAACCCTGTATCATGAACCCTGTATCATGAACCCTGTATACTGAACCCTGTATCCTGAACTCTGCATGCTGAACCCTGTATCCTGAACTCTGCATCCTGAACCTTGTATCCTGAACTCTGCATCCTGAACTCTGTATCCTGAACCCTATATCCTGAACCCTGCATCCTGAACCTTGTATCCTGAACTCTGCATCCTGAACCCTGTATCCTGAACTTTGCATGCTGAACCCTGTATCCTAAAACCTGTATCTTTAGCACTGTATTATGAACCCTGTATTCTGAACCCTGTATTCTAAACCCTGTATCCTGAACCCTGTAATCTAAACCCTGTATCCTGAACCCTGTATCCTGAACCCTGTATCCTGAACCCTGTATCCTGAATCCTGTATCCTGAACCCTGTAGTCTAAAACCTGTATCATGAATCCTGTATCCTGAATCCTATATTCTAAACCCTGTATTCTAAACCCTATATCCTGACCCCTGTATCCTGAAACCTGTATCCGGAACCCTGTATCCTGAACCCTGTATCCTGAACCCTGTAATCTAAAACCTGTATTCTAAATCCTGTATCCTGAATCCTATTTTCTAAACCCTGTATTCTGAACCCTGAATCCTGAACCCTGTATCCCGAACCCTGTAATCTAAAACCTGTATCCTGAATCCTGTATCCTGAATCCTGTATCCTAAACCCTGTATCCTGAACCCTTCATCTTGAATCCTGAAGAAAAAATAATCAAAACAGCATAGCGCTATTTTCCACCTAATTGCTTTATACTTGTACTGTTAAAATAGTCATTAATTTGTAATTGTAAACTCGTTCTGTAGACAGATACACATGTATTTTAGCAATAAACTTTATCTATCTATATATCTATCTAACCCTCCTGAACCTTGTATTTTAAACCCACACCCTACATGGCCTACAGTATTTAAATGTCCAATCCATTAAATAATACCACGGTTACATTTCATAATTTAGCCAATGTGGATGTTACAAATACTATACATACATTATAAAAAAGATGAAATTTAGCTGGAGACCAAATAACACGCGCTTCATAATCAACAGAATCAAAAAGTTTTAGAATGATTCCTTTTAAACTAACTGATCAATATTGTGTAAAACACTAGCTTGCAAATTGTTTAATTCTTATAATTTCTTCTATTGTTACTAGAGCAAAAATCTACAAGGATGTATCTAAGAGAAACTACAGTTAAATGTATATACAGGGTTACCCACAAAGGATGAGACTTCAGAGCCGACTGTACAGAATTTATACTGTATTTCCTTATATTTAGGTTTCTTTGCAACTTTAAACTGGTTTCTTTAGTTTCCATGTCAGTTTAGGCCGTTAAAAGACAATATTCGAGGCAAAGACTGAAAACATTATAATCGTCATATTTGATGAGGTTCAGGTCGTCTTTACAGTTTCATACTTTGTGCTGATCATCACAGAATCTAATCTGTAATTACAAGCTGAAGGACATGAAGGTTGGAGAAGACATTCGAGCAATATTAATTTCTGATGCTCAAGTATTGAGTATGCAGTATGCACGTTTCAATTTCTTTCATTTTATTAAATAATTGTCACCACCTTTCACTACCCTACCCCTCTACCGGCGCCGTGACAAACTCCTGAAAGACAAACTCCTGAAAGACAAACTCCGGAAAGACAAACTCCTGAAAGACAAACTCCTGAAAGACAAACTCCTGAAAGACAAACTCCTGAAAGACAAACTCCTGAAAGACAAACTCCTGAAAGACAAACTCCTGAAAGACAAACTCCTGAAAGACAAACTCCTGAAAGACAAACTCCTGAAAGACAAACTCCTGAAAGACAAACTCCTGAAAGACAAACTCCTGAAAGACAAACTCCTGAAAGACAAACTCCTGAAAGACAAACTCCTGAAAGACAAACTCCTGAAAGACAAACTCCTGAAAGACAAACTCCTGAAAGACAAACTCCTGAAAGACAAACTCCTGAAAGACAAACTCCTGAAAGACAAACTCCTGAAAGACAAACTCCTGAAAGACAAACTCCTGAAAGACAAACTCCTGAAAGACAAACTCCTGAAAGACAAACTCCTGAAAGACAAACTCCTGAAAGACAAACTCCTGAAAGACAAACTCCTGAAAGACAAACTCCTGAAAGACAAACTCCTGAAAGACAAACTCCTGAAAGACAAACTCCTGAAAGACAAACTCCTGAAAGACAAACTCCTGAAAGACAAACTCCTGAAAGACAAACTCCTGAAAGACAAACTCCTGAAAGACAAACTCCTGAAAGACAAACTCCTGAAAGACAAACTCCTGAAAGACAAACTCCTGAAAGACAAACTCCTGAAAGACAAACTCCTGAAAGACAAACTCCTGAAAGACAAACTCCTGAAAGACAAACTCCTGAAAGACAAACTCCTGAAAGACAAACTCCTGAAAGACAAACTCCTGAAAGACAAACTCCTGAAAGACAAACTCCTGAAAGACAAACTCCTGAAAGACAAACTCCTGAAAGACAAACTCCTGAAAGACAAACTCCTGAAAGACAAACTCCTGAAAGACAAACTCCTGAAAGACAAACTCCTGAAAGACAAACTCCTGAAAGACAAACTCCTGAAAGACAAACTCCTGAAAGACAAACTCCTGAAAGACAAACTCCTGAAAAGCANCAAGAAAAGAAGGGAAGGATAAGAGGAAAAGTAAAGAAAAGAAGGGAAGGATAGGAGGAAAAGTCAAGAAAAGAAGGGAAGGATAGGAGGAAAAGTAAATAAAGAAGGGAAGGATAGGAGGAAAAGTGAAAAAAAGAAGGGAAGGATAAGAGGAAAAGTGAAGAAAAGAAGAGAAGGATAAGAGGAAAAGTAAAGAAAAGAAGGGAAGGATAGGAGGAAAAGTAAAGAAAAGAAGGGAAGGATAGGAGGAAAAGTAAAGAAAAGAAGGAAAGGATAGGAGGAAAAGTGAAGAAAAGAAGGGAAGGATAGGAGGAAAAGTAAAGAAAAGAAAGACGGGAGGTGAAAAGAATCCGCTAGGATTAGTTTCTAGTTCTCCCCTGCTAAACTTTATTTATACATTGAGCAGTTTACACCGAAACCTCGTCCGACTCTGGTAATAGATTAAACCACAGAGCTAATCGGGAAACCAGGAACAGTTTACAGCTCCGGAGTTGAAAATAAACATACAGTTTACAGGGTTCTGGAGAACGATACGTTTAATACACTAGTTTGGTTTCCAGTCATGACAAAAGTAGGAAATCAAATAGGAAAAGTAAAATTTTCATAAAAACATAATGAACTAGTTTGCAGTAATGTCCACCAGACCATACATCAAGGATCATTGAAAGAGAATTAACTATTTTATTTATGCTATCCTCCGCTATATAGAGCGACAAAATCGATTCACAACGGTACCCTTAGAATCCTCATCTGAGCCAAGCTGACGGAGATCTTTATGTTTTCTGTCTGAAAATTAGTCATTTTCATTTGTTGTTTCTCTCATGAAAGTGACTTGCGAAATTGTGTAGCAGAATTCAATATGTTTTAATGGCTGCTCAAAGAAAGGTGCAAAGGGTACCGTTGTGAATCAGGCATGGAACTCTTTAATTAGTTGGTTCACTTGAAAATACGTTGACATTCCCTTTAATTAAAACTACTTGTGATACTGAAACAACTCATTATATAACTTATACGGATTTAAAATCTCACTTAATATGGAGTAAGCAGGACGGGATGAAGGTACAGAAATCTCCAGGTCGTATCTGATATTTGAAACTTATTATCCTATGTTGAGATCTCCAGATTGTATCTGATATCTGAAACTTATTATCCTATGTTCAGATCTCCAGGTTGTATCTGATATCTGAAACTTATTATTCTATGTTCAGATCTCCAGGTTGTATATCTGATATTTGAAACTTATTATCCTATGTTTAGATCTCCAGGTTGTGTATCTTATATCTAAACTTGTTTATATCCTCTAAGATTTATCGTTTAAAAACTATAAACCGTGTTATTTTGTTTCTTCAGTTGAACAAGCAGAGAATTTATTATGCTCTAGGGGAGGGAGGGGGTGCAGGGCCATGAGCCCCGCAGAACAGTCTCCAAGCCTCCGTATTTTCAGATGAGTATTTTATATAACCTGGCGCTACCTGTAAAGGTTAGAATATCCAAAAAGCATTGAACAACTATTAAAATATGAAATATTTTTCTAAAATTCTTTACACATTACTTCTATAAAATATATTCTGAAGGATAGGAAAGCGCCAGGTCATTTTAAAAACTCATCTGCTAATCCAGAGGACTGAGACTATTTCGCGGGGCTCATGGCAGCCCTGAATCCCCTCCCTACCTAGGGGCAGATTATCTTTAATTTCAAAGGAATCACAAGTATTGTCAGTTTTTTACCAGATGGCATTTTATTGTTGATTCTTAACATCACATTTATTTTACGGTCGGTTAGATATTCTTTTTTATTTTACGGTCGGTTAGATATTCTTTTTATTTTACGGTCGGTTAGATATTCTTTTTATTTTACGGTCGGTTAGATATTCTTTTTTATTTTACGGTCGGTTAGATATTCTTTTT